GGTTAGTTAGCGAGTAATGCACTATTGTCCACGTTCTGTTGTGGACATGTGCCCATTTCATGGCTCACGCTATGCGACACATGAACAACGTCCACCACATACACATTCATTTATCACATAGTCTCTAATCCTAACACGATACTAATTCTTCTCACATCTGGTTCATGCACCTAATCCGATTATGCCAATTTATCAAAAATTTCATCGGTCCACCAATCTAAGCTATCAACCAACCATCTACTATCCGTATTTCGTATGAGCTGTGCGTTCGGATTGCTTGAGTTCTCGGTAGAATTCTCGGTGATTATGAACGGTTAATCACACGACTATCAGTCGGTTGCTTCCATTAACCAGAAAAGTTTTCTGTGTTGTTAAGCAAATTTGTGCTCTACGTTAAAGAATTGTCAGCTTAAAAGATCAACTGAATTTTGAACGTCCACCTAGAAACGGATTTCGTGGAGGAATTCTGCAGTTTCCGTCATATTTTATTGGTGATTTATTGAAAATGATATCGCTCAGTGCCAACTGCTTGAAGTCAGCTTTTCGCCTGCTCTCTAGTTTGCAATTATTTCTCGATGCTCGATTTTGGGAAGTCATAAGCATAAATGCTGAAAACGAATGCACTGAATACCGAATCCATTTCACATTTGATAATTCATTCGTTGGAATCGTTTCGATGGCAAAATTCTTCAGTACGTCGGCAATTTGCACAACTGAAACACTCCATAGCTTATTTGAGATTATGATTTTTTAACAGAAATGGAATTCATAAAAAATGGAATTCATTCGCATTAACATCATAGATATTTTCCGTTGATTAAGTGCCGTCAAAATGATCGAATCTATTGATCTTGCACCCACAACAGCGCTTCAGTGTGCTTGTATGTGTTTCACATGAATCTAATCGTCATTAGCTTCGAAATTTGAAACTTACCATAGTGCAATATTCATTTAGTCGTTGTTATTATATGTTGTGTCTCGGAATACATATGTGCTTAAGCATGATATCCAGCAACAATTCACTGTTTTGTTATTCAATAATACTGCGCTGATACTATTTGAACATGTTGTTGCCCGTTCAGCTAATGTTGATTATCCTAAAGAATCACTATTCGACGACGGATTAGAGTGAGATAGAGAATGATAGAAATTCCATCGGTCGTTTAATTGACATATTTTATGGCCACCAAAGCGCTCACTTGTCAGTTTCGTGAACAGCTCTTAAATTTGTTTACGACTCTTACATTAATTCTGCTCCTTTTGATCCAATAAATTCTATTGCTTGCAACATGCATTATATAAGTGAAAAATATCCATCTAATCATGAAAACAGATTCAAAATGTGTGAATTCTGTGTGTGTGTCAATGTAATTACGCTTGATTAAGAAATTCTTCTAAATTATGGAATGAATCGTCGTTGCATGAAGAGATTGCGGCTTCATTGCATTATCATAATTCATCGTAAAAATAAATTTGAAAACGTCGAAAAAATCCTACATAGTGACATATACATAAAAATTTCATAAGATTCTTTTGTGACGGCTTCAAAACGATTTTACAGTCATTGTGTCATTCATTAGCATCATCAGTACATTAAAGATGAGTACATATTTGTGGTTTGTGCACATCAATGCACCCGAATATTATTTTATTTACGCGACCTGTCATCAACATGTTTTTTAATTTAACAAAATTCGAATGCACTCTGCATATGTTCCATCCTAATGTTTTTCAACGAAAACACTAACGAATGATCACATTTGTAGCTGTAAGAACGATTCTATTAAGCGGATGACAACACGCGTGCATTTAATGATAATTTTAGTTATGCTTAATTTGATGAAATGACTCACGATTAATGATTCACATGTTGAAATGAAATTCAACTTAATCTATCGCATTGTCGTTGGTTTTGTTAAGAAGCGTTTTCTATTGATTGTTTTTTCGAAGAAGGCATTTTCTCTTGGCTGTTTACGATTGTTACATTTAACCCGATGAGTTGTTGATAGTGATGATTCTTTGACTGCCGAGATTTTGAATGTTTTTATTTTTGTTTTTCAGACATCACAAAGTCGCTGCATTGATGTTACGTAGGCTATTAAATATGCGAACGAGACGTGCCCTGGATTCGTAGAGAGTAGCGAACGGGCACACAGAGTTGACACGCGACACGAAACTGACCAAAAAAAAACAACACTTCAAGAAATCGTCGTAATTTTTTTTTTTGAAGAAAGCATTTGCACATCGGACGGATGTGCAAATTTGTACGTATCGCCGATCAATACACTCACTTTTGTGGCCTACGAATCAGCAATCAAGTTGGTTGATCGAAGCGTTTCTTAGTGCTGAGATGTTTTGTGAATTTTGTGATTCCGTTGAAATTTTCCGAGAGATTCGAATCAATTGATGATGATTTTCATTGCATTTCGGAGTCTCAATCAACTATTCATAGAAATTGCAACATCCAAGCGACAATATACCAATGGCACATTCATTCACTGTTTTGTTTGGGTGCAAAAATGTCAGCTGCACTTGTTTCATCAATTTTGATATTGTGGCAAAAACACGGCCGGCCAAACTTTCGAGGCTAGACTATTTGATCAGTCATTCGCCATTTTTTGATCGATTCCGATTTCAAGATGTCAGAATCAGTAACGTCTAACCAATTAGCAGTGATAATCTTTGATATCACAGTCGGTTACATTTGAACAGTCACACAGTCAGTAGAGCGTTTTCGCGTTTTGCACGCAAAAAGTGTTTAAATAAATACCTTCGAAACATGAAAAGTGGCTATTTGTAGCAAAGATTATCAATTAGAAGGGCAATTACACGAGCTTACGAGTCAGAACATTCATTCACTTCGAAAAAATCAGCACCATTTCCAGGAAACAAACGTTCTGAGAAATCACATCGATGACTTACGTTTTGAATCGAACGTATAATATCCTTGCCCAGTCGAAGTTAATTACGGAAGTAACTGAAAAATTCTACCGCAAATCCCATTCATTCGCTAAATGAAGGGCTAAACAATCAACTCGATAGTTAAGTGGTATTACAGTGCATTGGGAAACTAAACAAAAAATAGCGATAAGCAGCGATTCGATATAATCCTTGATTAATATACGGTATCGAAAATTTTTATCGGGTATTTTTTTATCGGCTGTCGAAATTCGCGAACATTCATTTTCGAGTCATAAATATTTTCGAGCGTTGTGACGAAGCCAGAAAACTGTCTCAAAGGTCGTTCATTTTCGGCAAACAACGTTATTTTTACATTATAACTAAGCCTAAGCCCTCATACATAGAAAACGTCCATTTGAGATTTTTGAGAGTTATTTTTGCAGAAAAATTCAAAATGCATCAGCTCACTTCCAATTACTTTAATCATTTTTCTTATTTTTTTCCTTTTTGCTGATACTGGAGCAGATTTTCGCTGGGTGAGAGCAATTTGTTTGTGATTAACTTCACGACTTTATGATGGATACAAAAACTGAAGAGCTTTATTGATAGGGGAGATTTTTTGATGAATCTCTCTTGGAATTCATTCAGTGCGATTGAATCCTTAGAGAGTCTTTCTTCTGTAGAATTTTATGATAGGGCATGAATGAACCACAAAAAACTTGATATGAAATACGACTCGTAAGATAATCGCGACTGCTGAATAATTTCTCAACAAACAAAACGTCATAAAAATCACATCGTATGATTATTTTGAGTTGACATTATGCAAATGCACACACAAATAGTCATGGAATGCCACACTTCGGGAGAACTGATAATAGAATTATCTCGTGAACAATGAATAAATACGACAATATGCATAAACAATTCGAATTTCATGCTTTTGGCTTCTTATTCAATACGCAAGCGCCACAGTGATTAGCCGAATCAACCAAGAGCCATTTTCTTATATTACAAAACATTTTCTTACAATAATCTCCTCATATCATACTTATAAAATTCATATATCCGATAATACTTCTAATGACAATGTGTTAAACATATCGACTGCCATTCTGTTTCTGCCATGCTGTAAATGGATGCATAACCAAGTAATTTTCAGGTTTTGGTATGTTTCTTTGCGATTGGACAGTTGGTCGTAACTGCTGTCTCATTGGCCCAACACGTTTTTTCGGTTATTCATTTCAAACAGGTGCATTCAAATTAATTGATCATGGACAGCTGAGGAGTTTTCCATTGCTGATTTTTTTTTGAATCCACAGTGCAATCCATTGATTATGACCATTTAATGAGAATTTGAAAATGCAAAACTCTTCCCAATGGAGAGCTAGCACTTCTTATTTTTTCAAGAAGCCGCGTGCAAATTTACGGATAAATTTGCTCATCTGCACGCAAACAAAATTCGTCTGAGTGAAGTTCTGAATAAGCGGATAATGTCAGTTCTGCGGCTAGATCATGAAATGTTTTCAATTGGTTCATTGAGCACTAAAACATATGATGAATGAGATGAAGTTGTTCATGGAAAAATGAAAGCATGAGAACGTGCAAACGATAGGCATTAAAAGTTTGCTTCCTTCAATGACAGTGCTCAAGTTTGCGTGCAATTTGTTCACATTTTCGTGTTCATGACCATCAACTTATGTTTGGAAATGAAATTTTGCCTTGCAACTTGTTGCACTGCAATTCCTCATTAATCTTCGATCATGCATGTCTAATTACCAACCCTTGTATTTGCTTGATACATTTCTCATTGCTGAAAAAAGTAACGACGTTGAAACTCATTATTTCATCGGAAGTTATGAAATTTGACAGCTTGTTTACGTTTGAGGGCAACATATACATCTACACTCATTTCTCAGCGAATGTTACTAGCTTCCTGATTCGGGAAATCATCAAGCTAGTGAAACCGATGAAGTGAATGAGATATGTAATGAGCACCTATAATATCATACTTACAATCCTATAACATCATACTTAGCATATCCTTATTATAATATTATGAAGTTTATGACTAATGAAATGCAAATGGATGGGATACGATGTTTTTGATTCAGATTTTCCGATGTTCATTCAATGAAACTCGTATTAATGGACCGCACTCTAATTTTCTCAGCTATGACGTGATCATCTTCGATTTCGGACTATTTCATGAGCTTATACAGGTGCTTTCCTACTGGTATACACTCTTTATGCGAAGATTCGTACATTTTCAGTTTGCAATTGTTGATGCGTAATTTCAGTTGGCGTTTACTTCGTATAACTTGAATTCCTTTATAAGTAGCATATATTGAAAGAAAATTCAAAACAAAATACTTTCTGAGTTCATATTTCTGCTGAAGAAACAACTGAAAACGAAATGAAATTATTGAAGTAATCAACCGTGGACATTTTATACGTTATTATACGTAAATTGCTCAGCGCACACAAAATCGTGAGTTAACATGCGTATAAACCGTACGAATCAATTCTCATGAAGGCCTTCTCAAATTACAGGCTCAAGAGTGCATAGCGAATTATTTGGATGGTGGTTATATGCGGTGTTTATGGTGTTTCAGTCAGTTGGTGGCGATTGGATGTGCGTTATTCAGTATTGTGTGCATTCGACAAGCACATCCACTTTACTTATGGCCTTTACTAATTATGCAGAATGCATATTGCTTCGGTCTTGTAAGTTCATTTGATCAACTCTTTTTGCGTTTTGTGCACAGTAATTGCTTGATTGATTGATTCGTTTGATCTGATCGGAATTGTTTTCTATCTCTGTAGTGGTTTTGAGTTACTCAATAATATTACTAATGAAACTCAATAATGTTCTCGAGCAGACTGAATTTGATTAGTGTCGCAATTTGCAGATGATTTTGACGATCGCAACGGCCGATAAAGTGCTTGTGAGTATTTTGCATCCACTCAACGGACACCTCAATCTTTTGATAGCGGCCTTTTTTGTTGGTACTTGTACGAATCATCTGTTCAATTACATTCTTTGGCATTTCTACTGGTATCGAGAAGCCGATTTCTTGCGGCGAACTGGACAGCATGTGATACCGTTTTGGGTTTAGTGTGATCCAATGATTTGCATCACTGACAATTGGCAGTAACTTCCGACGACGGCTCAATATGATAAAGGTGCCCGACTTTGTATGGTTACCAGGAGAAGAGAGCATTCTCTCAGGTGCGGGTATTTTTGTCACGTTCTCGACGATTCTATCATCTGAAAGCAATAAATGTGAAAACAATAAATAGAAATTTTGACGGCAGAAATTATTGTAAGGAAAACGAAGTGATTGGTTGTAATGGCAATCGCTCATTGAATCAGTAATCCGTACTGGTGCTGCTTACGATTGCTTTGATCCATATCACCGACTGCCTTTAGTAGATTTAAACGCCTAATCGCACCTGAAAAAATAGAAAATGCTCTCTTCAGAAGTATATTTTCAGAAATGATGCATTATCAAATTTTCATGATGCATAATCAGTGTTCCACAATATGTGCAGTTAAGACCTAAAAAAACAGGGTCAATGTTTCATATGTGCTTCAGATGTGTGTTGTTCACGCAGGCTCATCATATCTATTGTTTTACCTGATTCCCGATGATTTTCCAGAATTCAACATATCAAAGCACCTCTTTGTATGATCTCAATTTGATTCATTTCTGTTCGCATTCGTTGTTTTTGTTGTTGTTTGAATCAGAGTTTGTAAAATACCTGCCCGCTGCAAACTTCTATCAATCTTTTTGCTCGTTCATGAGAGTTAATGTAAACTTTTTGCCATTATGTCGCAATTTTTTCTGATGAAATGACTTTCATTGTTGTTGTATTTATTGTAATATATCCAACTGTAACTGTGTTCGATAAACACTGTGTTCTGTGCGAGGATCGAATGTACATATTTCAAGCGGCTGATTAGCTATTTTAGATGGCTGATTAGCTATTATACTTTAGAAGTTCACTGGGGAAACAGCTGTTTAAGCAGGAATAAAAGGACAGCCTTCCATAGGATGTGTTGGCATTCACACCTTTCGTATTACTAAAACGTAACATAAACGTTTCAATACTTGAATCGTCACACTCATTTATTTCGCTCTATTACATAGTTCACTTGCATATTACAACAACATTGCATACCAATAGGAAGCAATTCAACAGAACGTTGCAAAGCTCATCTTACTGTTAGCAATTCACTCATCATCGTCGAATAACTAACTAACAGAATGATCACTTGAGTTTAGCAACTGGCTGATTTCGTTTTGCAGTTGGGAATATGTACAAAACATCAGCGACCATCAGAAACGAGGAATTGTGTCATCAAAGCGTATTATTGCTAAGACAGGGATAACTTCAGTCATCACATGGCCGGCATCGAACCCTAACCACTACATTCAATGCAAGCGAACAATACCACTGCGCTATAGCAACAGGTGTAACATCAGCAATTCATTAATAGTTTAGTGCAATGAGGATAGCGATAGTGATTCTCATTAAACTGATTCTTATAGTTTAAGCACAATGTTCACCAAAATAGCATAATTCAGAGATTAATTACAGCAATTAATTTCCCTCAAACAAGCAGCACATCGTAAGTGGCTGTTATACTCGATTTGAACTGTTTTACTGATATTCCATGAAAGGTTTACAACACACAGAGAATATTTGGATGAAATGATTCAGTGTAGACGATTGTTCTTAAGTCATGTATTCTTAAGTCAAATTCTTAATTCATGTATTCTTCGATCATTATTTCTTCATACGAATAAAACACTATTGAAGTGTATAAATTTGCCTACAAAACAATCATCTGCTGAAAGTTCGTTGACTGGAACAATCGCTGCGCTTTCATTTTTTCCTGTTCGCTCTTAGCAAAGCAGAAATATTATGTGTTCATAGAGCTTAATCCAATGAAAATATGAGCAAAAGTATCCGCAGAGCACTGCTCTTGGTAATTTTTACAGTTCTGAAAACCCATCCCTTGTGTTCTGTTGTTTCCGCCTTGTTCTTTCGTTCACTTCTTGTGTATTGTGAATTGATTCGTAGCAGTGAACAGTGGTTTGCGAAGCTTAGCTCTTCGGAGTAATTTTGTTTTCTTTTATTTGAAGAATTCATTTTTCACATGAAATATTACAGGCTATAGACTGTTCTGGCGAGATAGAATAGTCGGTTATCCGAGCAGATGTTTTACAGACGTTTCTATCGTTTATTCTGTCGATATACTGCGTTAATTCGTCTTGGCTCATTGCGAAATCTATCAAAAAATGGTGTAATCGTAGCTTTATTGGGTATAAACTTGAAATCATCATTTCGAAATGCATCACTTACGTCTGATCAACAACACCGAATCAGCCCACCGACCGAATATGAAATCAACGAAGAATTATCGGTTCAGAGTGATCANGATGTGATCTACATGACACCGATTGATTTTCTTGATTCATTGACCATGAATGCACCTCGAGGTTATTTTCGAATTATCTTCAATTTTCTTTCGAATTAATCATCCCAAACGAAAGCCGTCATTATATTGTTTAAGTCAAATTTTTTTTTCGTTTATAATTTTAGCAATTTCTTTAGTTTACAATTTTAGTCGGCATGCCTGAGAATATTTGAATATTCATTTACAGATCATCATAACATTTACATAATATTATCATTTTACTTCACCGATAGCAAGCAAAGATCATTGTTGCGCCCTAACGAATGAAATTTCTTATTGTAAATTTTCAGAAAGAGTCTATCGGAAGGTTCTCAGTGAAAAAGATGTGGGACAAATTCTATCGAAAACGCCACCGTTACAAGAACACAGCAAAAATGTGTTAAGGAATCTGGATCAAAATGGAATAATTTCATACGCTGAATATATATTTTTGATCACCCTTCTTACAAGTATGTTCCATGTTTCAAATTCTTTGTGAATTGAACATAAAACTGTGTTAAATGTTTGCGTTTTTACCGTTTCATTCCCGTCTGGAAATTTATATCAAAATGTAACATTGTTTTTGCTCTGATTTCAAGAATTGATTCATAACGATCTAATCGATCTGTGCATTAACTGAAGTATTTTAGAGTCACAACGAGGTTTCCGAATTGCTTTCACGATGTTCGACAAAGATGGAAACGGTCGAATTGAAAAGGATGAATTTCTTGTGGTAAATTGTTGCGATATCGAAATTTTCATCTTGTATTCCTTGAACGAAAGAATCTCTCCAGTATCATTTATTGTTCTAATTTTATGCGGAAATACCTTGATTCCTTAATAAAGCAGACATTGACGACTTCTATGATAAAAGTAAATAAAATAATATTTGTTTTTTACAGGTAAGATCTCTGGTCTCAGCGCTTCGTTCAACGCGATCAGTCGATAAGGAGGTAATGATTCGACATTTCGTGTTTAGTAAACATAATTTAACTCGATTGTTTTTGAAAAGTGAACAGAGTCACTGTTCGCATTCAGTTTTAAAAATTTTACATTGCATTCGATTGTTGATTTTAATTGATATTGATTTAATTCAAAAATACCTTCGCTGATTTGGTGACATTTCAGAAGGACAACTGTAGTTTGGACGGTGCCGACTTGCAGTATCTAATCAAACGTTTTGGATTCACACCGCGAAATTCCGAGGGTATTCATTTTCAAGTAGGTTGACTATTATAGAAATGGTCTTATCTGTAAGTGGTCTTACTTGTAAGAAATCAGAAATAAATTCCTCCATTGTAAATTTACAATTGATTGGAAGTCATCGAACAACTAACTGGTAGTGATATTTTATAGTGTCACCAACCGGTTGCCTGTTTCCTTTTATGAAAATACGGTAAATTGACATAAATGGATCATGAGATAGTTTTACGTTGAAATTCTACAGCTATTTTAGTGAAAAGTTTGAACAAGATTTTTTCGGTCGGTCATACTCCATGAATTGCGATGAAGATTGAATATTTTTGTAGAAGAGTGAAGAAGAAGTGAAGAAGCAGGACACAACCCTACTGTTGCATCTGTTTGGACGCAGTGGAAATGAAACGTTGTCATTTGATCGTTTCCAGATGTAAGTTCGCTTCCGATTTTCTATCGTTTCCGATTGATTACAACAAAAAATGAATAATAGACTCATTTTTACTCTAATTTCTTCAGTTTTAATTAGCATTTGGTATTTTTTTGAAAC